TATTCCTTATACGAGAAATGGGTAAATGCTATATTCAGTTTCCGAACTTTACTCTCAACTATGGTATTGGCAGCCAACAAACAGTTTTTGATGCAAGTAGAACAAGTGGCTGAAGTGGTGCTTAAGAGTGCAAAATTTTGTGGTTTGATGAACTTCGTTTCACCGTTTTTTGCATCAATGGTGGAGTAAAAACATGTAGAAAATCGAAGAGGCACTTGACTCCTGAGGAGAGTGTAATGGTATGGGGGATCATTTCATGGTAGAGGGTTAGGTTCTTTGATTCTCTTGGAAAGATGAATCCCACAGTGTACTAAAAAAATGTTGTTGATGATGTCCACCCCACAATGCTGTATCTTAAACACGATGGAAAAGCTTTAATTAAACACGGTAATTCACCAAGCTTGTATGGTTTAAAACTGATTCAGAGTATGAAAGAGACATTATTTATCATCTTTGGCTAAATAATTATCAAATCTTATCCAGACTGAGTTGTTTTTTTTGGATAAGCTAAAACGTCTGCATACCACCATAATCTTTTCGTGACACTTATAAACTTGTAGTAATCAAATTTCTTGAAGATTAAACTACAATCGAACAAGATAATTTTCTGTACATTGTAAAGTTATACCAAGAAGTTATTAATAGCTACAGTTGAAATGGTCAAACCCAATACTGTGTACAAGTAAAATAGCCAATCGGTGTTATATACAATCAGCATCGTTACTGACCTGTTATATATTACTGCATTATTACGAATCATAATAATAAAATTGTGATTTGTTATGTAACCTTACTGATCTACAATATGTAATATAGCATCCTGGACTTATTACTGGTTTTGTAATATTAGTGTACTAGCATAATTACTGGGCATGGTAGTTATTTCGCTTGACTTGCAAGTTCGAATCCCCATTGCTGAACGTGCTCATCCTACAAGGTTACCGACTGGGCTAGCAACTTGGATGTATACATTTTTTGTCTACAAGAATGCACGTCGACTCCAAAGTAGTTGGGAATAAGGTTGGAAAAAAAAAAGCATAATTACCGATCTGTAATATACTACACTAGCATTATTAGTGGTCTGTGACATTAGTATATTGGCATTATTAGTGATCTGTAGTATATCATCATTCTTTGTCTCACACAAACTTTCATTACAGTTATGCACACAACATCGTGCTTATTATTTTAAAATATACGATGCTCTTGATGTCCAGAACTTTACAAATGCTAGGTTGTAAAATAACATGAACACACAATAAAAATGATGAGAAAATTTATTTTTCACATACTTATGTAATTAGTATACATACGAATAAAATATATCTCAAGTTTATATTCATACATTAATTTTGTACTTTTTCTAACTATATTTTCAACTTGTGTTATAACAATTTTTTCTTCAAAGTTCCTGCATGGGAAGGAAATGAAAACAAAAAAAATTGATCAGAAACACACTGAGAATTTATGACATTATTTTTGAAAAACGTATTTATTTAATAAAAACAATAATAGAGGTATCACAGACTATCCACTATGTACACTAAATAGTACAAGTCCTTTTTCTCAGAATCAATGTGGAGTTGTTTAAAATAATAAACTTTCAATACAAAAATATTTTATAGATTACAATAAATCTTACTGAATGGATTCAAGCTGTGAATCAACAACTAACATCAAGCACTATTTCAAAACAACTTGAAGTTATGTACATTAACAATTATGTGCAATATTCATATAAAATAACAAGTAACATATCTATTTATTGCCTCCAAGGATTAGCAGAAGAAAACATTTAACAGTTGTAACAACATGTGAGAGCCAGCCACCAAGTTTATGGTTGTTGTTGCTGAACTGTTTTATTTGGAAAATTGCCTTATGATTTATAACCTTATGGAGTAAAACATCTTATCTAATACCCATCTGATTTTTCTTAAATCTTCACTTAACAAATAATAGAAAAAAAATTAAGTATTCAAATTTATTAAATTTGTATCCTGTTTAATATTATCATGATATAGGAGTTTAGAAGGCACAAATATGTAGCTTTAAATGTACAGCTTTCTTATTGAAGAAATTATTCAAAACAAATTCGGGCCTAAACAGAAAGAAGCAGTGTTCAAAAATATATCATAAAACTTATGTTTTTTAAACATATTGGTGTAAGAAAAGGAAATATTAAATAGTTTGGATATTATTCAAATGAATGATTATTATTTAGTTTTTAACAGACACACTAACAAGTCTGCAAGAATGTTATGTTGCCTAGGGGACTACAACTGTTCCAAGACAAGTAGCCTGCTAAGTGCAATACACACATTACGATGATGCATTCATGAAAACTAAATTACCATTAAATGAAACGTTTCAAACGTTCATGAAATGAGCAAATAAGACTTAAAATTAAGATAATCATTAAATATGAATTTGAAAAGCTGAACATTACATGATAATAAATTAAAGGAACAGAAACAATAAAAGTTAAATAGCTTGAAAGGATCAAGTTATTTATAAAAACTATGAACAATGGGGAGTAATGGTTTGAAAGGATCGGGTTATTTATAAAAACTACGAACAATGGGGAGCATTGGTTTGAAAGGATCGGGTTATT